ATTAAATTAAATGAACTTATTATTTTTAAATTACTATACTAAATAATTTTTTTATAATTTAATATTTTTTCATAAAAATTGTGTTCTTATATTTAAGAATCATTCGGTGAGTCTATATGCATATAATTTGTTTAATATTAGGTATAACATTTAAAAATGTTAGGATATTTATAATATTGTCAAATAAAGCAATTAAAAAATATGTTGCCAACATAAGAATTATAAATATGAAAAAAAAGTAGTGATTTAGGAATAATTTTTTTATACAACTTTCATGTGTCATCATTAAATAAATTAATACATTTAATATCATAAGTTTTAAATAAATAAAAAATGGCAATCTTTAAATGACAAATAAGGTAATATAAAAAATTTATTGTTAAATCATTTTTTAATATTTTAACTTTATTATTATCTCTTTACTTTAATTATTCATCATATTGTGATTTAAATCTTATTATTTTTATTTTTTAAAAAATAATATAAATAAGATTATAAATTATTTTTAAAATTTTAATTTAAACATAAAATAGAAAAACCATCTGGGACGGAGGGAGTATTATCGTAAAAAAAACAAGGCATGAAGTGGGAGTCCTTTCCCCTTCACTGCATAAGACCATTATTATTATTATTATAATATTGAACCCTGCACAATGCCTAATTAAAGATCTTTGTTATTTGGCTCAAAGCATGATTCAGTGGCAAAACTGACGTCAAACTTCACGCTCGAAGTTAGGTCAACTGTCCTAAATCTAGACGTACTAATGATTAATGATTTGGTAGGGCTTATAGGAAGATTAGTTGGGAAGAAAACAATTGGTTTTTTTTTTTTAATCATCCAAGAAATTAATTGTGGAGTTCAACAAGTATATGAAAAGAAATGTGATTTGTTTTCAGAGGTATTGGAGAAGAAAATGACACAAGATCTTTCATATTTTTGTTATAATTTTAGCTTTAGAAAAGAGTCCATCCTTTGTCCGTGCTCCCAAGTCCCGACCATGTATTACTTGAGTCTTGTGAAAGCTCTCCCTCGTTATTTGATAGTAATATATTTAGTTTAAGGAAAATTGAGATAAGGAGAGTTGTGGAATATATTTTTAATTAATTAAATTATAATATTAGAAATATTATAATTTATTTAATTAAAAATTTATATATTTTTTCTTAATTTTTCGTTTTTTGAAAGTCAAATATACTATAAAATTTTCATATTTCAAAAAGAAAAAACATGTGAGAAGAAATAAGGTGTGATAATTGTTTTTTTCAATTAAAGAGTTTTTTTTTATCAATATTCTTAACGTAAATGTTAAAAGTTTTAAAGAAATAAAAAGAGATATTTAATTTATTAATTATTTAATTAAATTTATTTATATGATAATAATATTAAAATTAATGTC